TTTTCGCTAGTTCGGTTTTTGCTCCACATTCTTCTACGCAGTTTTCAATAGCGAACTTTCTTCTCATTCGTCTTTCAGGTTCAGGAATCAATCTTATCCGCCTGAAGATGCGCTCGATAGTTATCATTACTCTGGTATTTGTGCCAGTATGCGATGGTTTATTTGGTTTGGGCTTCAAGCGAACCGTCTCTGCTTCTGGGAAGCTTATGTGTCACGAATATCCAGCTACGAACACCACAATATACTTGGAAGACATTGGAATCAGTAAGTACGGAATTTACTAGAATTTCACCACGAACCTTCACAATGAATTCAAACGTATGGAAAATTTTGTGAATCAGAGATTCTTGCAGTACGTGCCAAACGTAGGTGTACACTCCAAAGCCTATGTAGAAGCTGTTTAATTTTGTTAACTGCTACTTGACGCCGCAGTGCGTGCTCAGAAACTCATCACAAAAGTGCTGAACTATGGGCAAAAGTCAAATCCTAGGCGGAACTCAGATATGCATCTCCCGCTTTGCGCCATAGCCTTACAGCTTACTGTGCATGCTGTATGGCTATTTCATAAAAGCCATTGAGCTGAGAGGGTAAGGGTGGCCCCGGTCGCGTAATGGATAGCTCACAAGCTCGTTGCGGGAGATGCGGGTTCGACTCCCGCTATTCGCTGACTTTCGCCCGCAACTCAGCACACTTGCGATTACTTCAAATTCTACTTCACTCAACTCTAAAAGGGAACCGTTCATTTCTGTGTTCCGCAAAAGCCCTTTCTCGCTTCCCCTTCAGGGTTGAAAGTCGACGTAGACGGCCATCTAGGTGTTCAGGCGCGAGCGCAACTTCTTACATGACTGGCAAGCGCTTCTCCCAGCTTGCAGCAGGACTTTCTCCGGGGGAGTTGTGGTAGTGCACTGGCTGCCCGCTAAGAGGTCCTCTTCGTATATCTGTCACAGCACCTAACACGAGTGGCTTTATGCTGGACCTGGGCTGGTTATGTGCCGCCGAGATCGCGCAGTGCGGAAAGTACTGACTTGATCAGTGCTGTGTGGTCCATGTCGAATAAAACAGAAGGCCAACGTTCGAGCGCTCTGTCAATCACAGTTACAGCTCTTGGCGTGGATCTAGGCTCAAAAATTGGTTTGGCCGCGTAGCAGAACTCATGCAGAGCAGTGTAGTCGAAAGACGAACGCAATGTTCTGGGCCCCTGACTTGAATACATAATCGTTTCTCCTGACCGCGTACACCTTGTTCCCTTCTAGTACCACTGTTTAGAGGATTAGCCATAGTTTCACCTACCCTGCGAGTCGAAAGCTGCGAAAGGAAGAAGAACAGGTAAAATACTTCCGCGACTGTACTCCTCCTAGCGTAGAAGCACTCGTCGTTGAACAATCTTCCTCTTTCTAAAGTTTTTTTTTCCTGAGAAATGTTTTCAATTTGTTCTTCGACCAACGCATCTAAAAATTTGGCGCTCATATTTCCTCTCGAGTTTTGGCGTCCCTGTTCATTATAACTCTATCATCACCCTTGTGGTAGGCTTCTCGGTAAGTACGAGTGTTGTCAGATAATCGTTCGCACCGGAGATAGGAGCTGTCGGGAACTGTGGCTCACAGAAAACTTCATACCTTCTCAGAACCACTGGGCAAACGTGCAAATGGTGAGATGAAAGGATAATAACAGTTTAGTGGCGCATTTACATCTTGCTTTGACGATATGCATGTTTCTAGAGCCCAATAAAGTCTTCGGCGGCTCAGACGTTGTAAAATATGGAATTGTGAATAGGTTGTTTATGGGAGTGTGAAATGGAGATTTGTTCTCGATCTTTTTATCGTTAAGAAGTATCTTTATTCTTTGAAGAACTCTTAAAAAAACACAAATCACCAAATTGTTCCCCTTGTTTCATTTCGTGTCGTTGGGCTCCTCATGGCGGTCATTATGTGAGCCAGGAGGTGTTAACTGACACGCCGGTGAAGAAAACAGCAGAAAAAGCCGTCGCGAACGCCTCAACTGGGACTCCGTCATACCGCTGACAAGAATGGGACATAGCGGGGGGTCTCAGTTAAGACTTCTCGAAAAATGAACAACTTTAAAATGTGGTTATACTTCTTCAAATCATTTTAATGCCGTTTCGCGACACGATATAGGGATGACATGGTCCACTGTGGACACGAGCGCTTCATGCCAGAAACGGTTCGAGCACCGTCCGAGGTCCGACTTTTGCCCATAGTTCAGCGCACTTGTGATAGCTTTCGGAGCGCGCACTGCGGCGTTAAACAGCAGTTATCAAACTGAATGGCTTCTCTGGATTTGGTTCAACCAGACATTTATGTTTTTCCCTTAGTAACCTCCTCCCCCTCTCCCCAGAACAAGTCCTCCCCCTCCCCAGAACAACACACTTATTCCTCAGTTTTGAAACAGTTTAAGACAGGCTGTGCACTCATTTTTTCCTTGCCTTTTCGGGGTGAGAGGTTGATGGGTCCGCAGCTACATTAGCGTGCCACTTACACCGGTCAAAAGTGCCCGGGAAGGGGGCTGGAGGGTACTGATACCCGGCTGCGTCGCTATACTCTGCCCACGCTGACCGTAGCTAAACGCGCTACTTGTCTACGCCCTCTCACATCTGCTTGTTCTTCATAGCTAAGCGCACGCCTCGCCGCTGGACCTTGGCATTGACGCAAGTGTTGCACCTTGAGTATAGTCCGGGCGGAGAATGGAAACGACACTCGGGCTCCACTCCGCTCCAACCTCGTTCTCGCGCGCTTTCGAGCGGAGGAAGTGGCACGCTAGTGCAGCTGCGAGCTCGTTTATCCCACAAAGGACCGTGCTCGGAGGTGAGCATTCAGTCTGTCTTCAAAAGTGGCGATGGCACAGATCGAATAAGCAACCTATTTCGCCAGCTTAAAAATAAAACATTGAGAAAGTTCATCAATTTGGATAAAAAGTACTCCAGAAAGCAGGAAGGTACAAGATGTTTGCAATTGCAGTTTTCAACAGCAAAATCGGCGAGACGAAAACTGACTCCAAAGGTTTGTTCAACCTGACCGCTTCGTATCGGAAGATACTTTCCCTTCACCCACAGCTAACTTTTCGTCACACCTGTCATAATGAGAAAGATGGTAAATCGGTAAGTGCTTCATTATTGAATGAAGAACATTCTGGAATACTGTTCTGCTCCTCCTCAGAGACACGCTGTACCCCACAACCAAGGATCCTGGTCTCTGCCATGTGGGAGGTACACACCCGCGACGTGCAGCTTTCTCATGGAATGACTAATGAAATGCGCGGAAATGAAGCCGAAGGGTAGTGGAGCCATTTAAGGTTCCTGTCCTAGGGTAAAGCATGACACGCCACAGCTATATCTCTCTGCCCAAGTCAATCGCGGTTCTTCTCTGCTCTTTTCCTCTTTGGCTTGGCAGTCTACAGGGGTGGCCAAAAAAAGTCACTTTGACCAAGTCACATATCAGCAAAGTTTTTGCAGCCCAGACAGAGAAGATACGAGTACCAGGGCGGAGGATAACCCAAGA